GGAGGATAGATATTGTTACCTTAATGCACCACAATTATCTAAACCTATTCCACAGGTTTAATTATTGAACATCACATAGTACCTGTCATCATCCTAGGTCTCCAACTCAGTATTTTAAGGTTTTTTTGTATTTGGTTTTTTGTGTTTAAGTTTGTTTTTTGGTAATATTAGTATGTTGTTGTTTTCCCAGGTCATGTATCATATCCTCTGTTTGTAGTCTGTTCATATCCTAGTTTGTTCTCTTTTTGTGATCTATTTCTGTATCCCCAGTCATGTCCCTGTGTCTCTCTGGTCTCCCTGTGTTCTGTCTCCATCGTGGTCTGATTTCCCTGTTTGTTCTGTCAACTTCTTATGTCTTAGTCCTGGTCATTACGTCTTCTCGTGTGCGTTCACTTTTACTTCCTCTGTCTCATCGGTTAGATTCTGTCCAGTTGTTTTCCCAGGTGTGTCCACTCTGCCCTAATCCCCTCCTGTGTCTGTCTCCCTCTATTCTTTGTCGTACTCTCCCTCATGATGTATGTAGTCTCTGACAATCAATTTTACTGCTAGTTTGTTCAAATGCGACTTTTTTTACTGATTTTGTTCTCTTTGCTGTGTGTGTGTGTGTGTGTGTGTGTGTGTGTGTGTGTGTGTGTGTGTGTGTGATCATTGAAAGTGTGGTCATTTTTGAAGTGAACAGAAAAGGAAAATATATAATAAATGGAGACATTAATTCAAAGAATCACAACAACACAAAGGCTTGGTTGAAGCTCTTTATTTGGTTTGTTTGTTTAAACTATGTGACAGCGAGGCACGGAGCTGATGGGACATTCTGTGCTTAAATGTGAACTCGAGATAATGATGGAAATTAGAAAAATCAAACTGTGTTTGGAAATACATTTAAAAATCACACCCATTAATATCAACTGAGTCTGCAGTATGAAACCAACTTTATGAAACTGAACAAGAGAAACTTCAAATTTTAGACAGAACCATCGACCGTCAGTTACAGACACAAACATCTTCTCCATTTGAAGTGTCAGCTTTTCAACTGATAGGAACTCAGAGCTGATTCAGCAGAAAGAGAATAAAATGGTGCATGTTGGCCGTTGAATAAAAATGAAAATGAAAAATAAACATTCTGTGCCTTTTACAAAGGTAAATGATCATTGTGAAGAAACAGTAAGAAAATGTTTTCATGTTGTTTCAGTCGTTCAGCTGTCAAGCTGTTTTCTGTTTCCTGGGGGTGGTCAGTGAGAGTGAAGCAAGAAGCCAGAGAAGATGCTGTATCCGTTTCGTGTCCCTCTCATCGCTCTGTAGTCTTTAGTCTCCAACCAAACCTCTTGATCTTTTGACACGTACACCGCCAGGCCACCAGAAGTCACCTAGGATCAGTGGAGTTCAAAAATTAAATGGAGGATGTATCTATTTCAGAGGTTAATACACTCTGATGCTTGTACCTGTCTCCCCGCCTGCCGATGATCGCAGAACGATGCCAGCAGCATGTTGTCACGCTTCAGCAACACACACAGTTTTTCATCTAACGAGGCATGGTACACAAAGTAGTACGTTCCCGGGACCCGACACCTACATGCGACACAACAACACGATGAAGATGATTCTATACAAGTGGATTTGTTACAAGTGTCTTATGTCATATTGGGCAGAATTACTTTGTTCAAAACAGCGGAGTTATCAAAATGTTATTCACAGTTAACTCTGGAATATTTGGTAACAAGGAAATTTCAGGACTGGACTTCCACAGGTGGTTTGCCCTCAGTTCAGTGATGTGGATGGGTGAGTGATTTTTTTTTTTTTTTTGCAATGTAGTGTGTCTCAGCAACTACAAGGTGAGACCATAAAGTTTCAAGACTTTTGACGCCTGTTTCAATTCAGTTCCTTTGCTTCTGCACATTTGGACAGCTTTCTAGAGCAATCAGTAGAAGACCTAATCTAACCTCAAAGCCTTTGTTGTTAAACCCTTAACCTCCCCTGGTAATTCTTTGTTTTTACATTCATCAGGTCCCAATATCCCCAAATATCAAAGAGAAATTAAAAATGCATGCCATGGAAGAGTTGGGGTCTTAGGAGGTTAAGATTTTTGGCAAGAGGAAGTCACAGAGTGCTAAATCTGGAGAATCGAGTGGATGGGAAAGATGCAAAGACTGGATGCAAAGACTCTTGGTGTTACTCATGAAGCAAGAAGAACATGGAGCTTGATGATTGGAATTAACTGTGCATGACCCTGTAGTGTTTTGATGTATGCAGGTTTATACATCGCTCTGCTTTTAATCATTACTTATTATTAATCTCTGGCTGTCTTCCACATTTTGTCTTTTGTCCTGTTTTCCTCCCCTCACCCCAAACTGGTCATAGCAGATGCCTGCCCCTGCCCGAGCCTTGTTTTGCTGAGGGCCTCTTCCTGTTAAAAGGGAGTTTTTCCTTCACTCTGTCACCAAGTGCAAGTTTTTTCTCTGTATTACTTTATGGTTTTTAACTTACAATATAAAGTACCTTGAGGCAACAGTTTTTGTGATTTGGTGCTATTTAAATAAAATAGCAGACATGCTCATGTGCAGTCCTCCAAAATCCTAATTATGACGGTGTGGTAGTGTTGCCTCTGATTGCTATAGTATGAGTGCTTGAACTCTATGATCATTATGAAATGTATTATTATGAAAGTTTGAGCAGGAATCATCGTTGCCATCACGTTTCACTGCCAAATGAGTCTGTACAATTTTGAACCTAACATTAATCATTCAACATTAAACTGACTCACCTGAAGCGTCCTGTGTTTGTGTTGTAGTCATCGTTGATGTTGGTGATTGCATCGGTGAACTTAATGACGCTGGCTTTATCCGGGTATTGGTTTGTCGCTCTGGCCACACTGAAGGCCGCCTGCTGCTGGACTACAACAGCCCTGCAGCAACAGAGAGTATTTTTTTAATAGAACAGGGTGCCATTTTTTTTAAAGCAGCTAATTAATGCAGAACAACTGCAGTGGACTGTTTTTTTTGTTTTGTTTTTAACAGTGAACATAATGCTCTCATCTTGAATCCTCCCTTTGCAATACTTGCCTTCCCATGATGCA